ATTATCCTGTGAATGCAACAGACTCATTGAATCCCCGATGAAAAATAATCATTTGAGTCTCCCAAATCTATTGAAATGATTGCAGTCCTCATGATCACCGTAACTATCAAGTGAAAACATATTTGCACCACTGAGAAGATGTGCCTCTTGAGATGGTATTCACTGCAAGAAAGAAAGCCTCTAGGTCTATCATGATGTTCGCGCATGACAATTTCATACTAACTGAGATTTTAAAGAGGCGAAACTCATTTAATAAACTAGTTTTCAAGCCATAAAATCCCTATTTTCCGAAATATGGACTTCATGGCTTCCGCAATTCCGTCCCTCCTCCTTTCAAATAAGTCAGCTTTAAGAGAGAATTTCAAGTATGCCTTAATTTAGCACTTGCAAAATATTAAATCTCAAAATAATCCTACAGTTAGGATGTATGCCTTTATTATTTGAATTACTGGAGTAAGTGACATATTGCCCATGGAGATGTGCAATTTTTTTCACATTTTTCGAAAACGTTACAGATTTGGGATGGCAAGCTGAATTTTAACTTATTCTCGTTAACCAAAAATGTTCAACAATTCAAATTAGAAAGTTGTATCAAATGATGCTTTTTTCTTAGTCGTGATAATTGTGGATCATGAGGAATCCTGGGTTTGACAACAAAGGAATAATTTCCAATGCCTTTGGGATAATACGGTGCTTTTAGTAATTGCACTCACTGACTGTTTTTAGGGCCTTCAATTTTCACCATGTGCAGAGTCCGACAAAGAATCATGCACACAGTTTGGCAGTCGTCTTGAAGAGAAATCAAATGAATCAGATGATGAATTGAGACGTGTCCGAGATGGTACGTCAAATAGGAAACGTTTCGGTTCTCGATCAAACAAAGGTCAGTAGTCTCCATTTCATTGAATAATTGATTTCAAAAATTGCTGAAAACTGCAACGTTTCCAGGAACGATTGTTTACAATAATCACCTTTTGCATCGTTTTTGCACTGGAGTAGTTGTGTGCATTGCGTGATTGATTTTTGAGGAACAGGCACGAATCTGTACGGTCGCCCGTATTGTCCAGGCCGACCACTGAGCATGGAGGATCGTGGAAGAATAATTGAATTACATAAGAACGGTAAAAAGGTGAACGCGATTTCGAAGGAATTATGTATATCACATGGTTGTGTGTCTAAAATCATTTCCAGGTATTGCCATAATTTGCAGTATTCATCACTCACTTTCTGGGAGGGTTCGATTCGTTTGCATGCAAAATTCTCATTTATGAGTTTTTTTGCTGATTTCCGAATCGTTCATTGAGATCCATTAAACGTTTTTTTTTGTAAAATCACATTTTGGTAAAAACGTTTTGGTAAAAGAAAAACGATTTTTTAGGGGGGGGGAATTTTTTTTGCTAAATACTTGATTCTGCTTGCGGCGTTTATAACGACTGATCAGTGGCCGTAGATCAGTGTCAAGACGAAATTCGATAATGCACACACAAAAAAAAGTGCCCCCTTTTTTGCCACCGCACTATCGACTTACAGTTTTGAAACAATGCGTAGTTTTGATTACCTCAATAATCACAACTTGTGTCAATGATGAATGCTCACCCATACAGTCATATTGTAGTGAACAATCTCCGAAAATTTGGAACAGAAAACCGGATCCAAAAAAAACGAACAAAAAAAATCAAATCAGCTCTGTTTCATTGTTAAAGTGCACCTAAGATACAAATGGGTAATGGATGATCATTATTCAAAACCGGATCCAAAAAAAACGACCAAAAAAAATCAAATCAGCTCTGTTTCATTGTTAAAGTGCACCTAAGATACAAATGGGTAATGGATGATCATTATTCAATTGTGTTTTAGTTGCATCTTCCCGGTTCTCTCAAACTTGATCATTATAATTCAATGATTGCAATCAACTTTATTGTCTCATCGAAATATCGTCTTGAAANTTGGCTAATACACCTCATAATTACTCATTGTACATTATTGTGAATGCACTATCCTATGTAATTATAGAGCCATTATTAATCGCAATATAACCACAACAACCAGTTATAAATGGAAGAAATGTTATGCGGAGAAGTATAATTAGTAGGGGTATGAAATGAGCAACGCATTGTCAGTATGGGAATAAATAAATTAAGCATTTGTGCCTAGAAATGAATTTTCTGAACTACGAAAGATGCGTGGATTTCCTGGATTGGTTGGGCTATAAACGTCTAAAATTTTCGCGTCACTGTTTTGAGTCGTAACAGACATTTCGGAAAAAAGTCCGTCTCCGATTCGCCGTATTCCTTCGAGGACCGAAGAGTGCGAATAATGTTTGAACCAGTTATTTAGTTACCGATTGTTATTTTGTTATTTTGCTACACTTAATCCCAACCATTCACATAGAACGAATTTCGCTCAATAAATGCAAAAAGTCATTTTGAGACTTGAAAATGACATTACCGAATCAGAGTATAGAGATGTTTCCAAAAATATTCTCAAATTATTCTTTTTCTATTACCTTTTCTATTACTCTTTTCTGTTGCCTATCCACGTGTTCTTCTATTTTTCCTGCTGACATTAGTTTTCTCATTTTTGAAAGATGTTGACCCCGCAACTTTATGCCAAAGCGGAAATAGGTGAGAATATCAGTGGAAATTGGGAATATAAGAGTTGGAAATTGATATGTGAATATGTTGACCCCCAACAAAACGTGACTCTTCTGGACAAGTTTTGATAATCGCTCCAGAAATTATTGTTATGTTTCGGAATTTCTCATGATCGTTTCATTCCGTGAACACATTATGAACGGTTAGCCATCTCATCTCGACGATGAATTTCATTTGTATCCTCTCATAGGTGATTAGCAAATACCATTTTTGAGGTTTCGTGAGACCGGAATGTTGTGTCCAGCGTCGAGCCCGGTGCAGCGTCGCCCAAGAAGGACAAAAAAAAGTTCACCTCAAGCGCCCCACTCAGTGCCATCGATGGAAGTAATTTGTGAGCAATACTCTCTGTGCAGGAGTCAATCTCTTTTTTGATGTACAAAGATATTATTATTTCGTGTTGCATGAATATTCACTGTAAATAAATGTAATCATGTATCTATATCACTTTCGAATGCGTATCAAGCACTATGTGTCGTCTGCACCATTGTAGCACGAACCTCTCAAACTAACCTCTTAATTTTTATAAGCAAGGGTCACCTTACTTGCGAACATCGGCTTTGATGTTGGAATTTGTAAAAATTATTTCCAATGCGACCAGCCACAATGCGTTTACAACTCGACTTTTGTCGATAACACTAATAGTCATCGATTACCGTTTTTTAAAATGGTAACTGTTTTATCACGATGTGATATCATTGAATGTTTATCCAATGAAATAAATATTCTTTGAATTGAATTTTACCCCTTTTAATTGTAACATTTTTTAGAGAGGTCACTTGCAACACTCAGAGCCCACAAATGAACTGCTCAGAGAGGATATCATGACTGTAAGAATTCATGTTTATATTCGTATGCTGCTTAAACCTATTCTTTGAAATAATCATGCAACTAAGCAACACATATTACTGCAAAATGAAACGCATCGAGAAAAAAAAGGAAAGAAGTTCAGAGAAGAGCGTTTTTGTGGGAATAACCTGTTGTTCTGTGAAACTTTTCGGTTTCATGGTAGCCTTTTCATCTTGAAACGAAGGCATATCAATCGCCAAAAAATTTTTGCTGGCTGCTAACAAAAGCGGTCATCTGCTCATCCAAACAGTGAATGTTCAGCCCTATCCCGCAATAACTAAACTTCAACAATAAATCATTGGTGTTCCTCGTTTCTAAAGCGGATTTCAACTCTATGTATTAATATAAGTCCTCAATTTCGCCGCTATATTTAGCCTTCTCCGAAGACGTATCATAGCAATCGCACAAAGAATATGATTCGTCATAAATCACATGAAACACAGCTGTTAACTAGAAACGTAATGAATGAAATGCAAAGGATTCGCACAAAGTATATACATAAACGGGCAAAATGTGAATAATTCTGCAAGCGACAGAAAAACGAAACGATAAGAACTGGAACGACAGATAAGAGAGTTGACAATTCACTGATTTGATCGTCGCATCTGACTACTAAACAATGTGGTTGATAATCATATTAGTATTTCCATTCAAATCTTTTTTCGTATTCTCTACACAATCGTCATGCTCATCAGTTTCAATAATCAGTGACGGCAATGAACTGGGTATTGCGAATCGTACTCGGTGAACCGCATCAGCGTGTAACGCCTCACGGACAGCCGATCTGAAAGCAATGCAACTGTTGAATCAATGTGAGTAGTTCAATTAGAACATCTGATTGTTGGAACATTCAAATGATACGCAAACGAAGCAGTTTCAAAGCATTCACAAGCCTAGTACTTCTGACCAGTGTTCGTCGGGGAATGGGCTCCCCGCTGGGGACCCCGGCATGGAACGCGGGGAGCGCTCTCCCCGCGCAATTTGCTCCCCGACTTTTTCGCGGGGACCCCCCC